CGGAGGTCGTGGACAAGGTCCACGATGTCTGCACTGGACCAGGCGGGTGCCCGCCTCTTGCAGTCCTGGGCAAGCTCCCGGGAGCCGCCAGCCTGGTCCCGGGAAGAGGGGGAGGGCTGGGGGGCTTCAGGTGGCTGGCTCGAGCATGCAGTGTCCTTTTCTCACCTCACGTACTGTATTGCTACTCATGATTTATCAGGCGGATACCAACAAACCAATTCTAGTTTTCAGATGCTACATTGACAGGAGTATTTTTAAAGGTTCTCACAGAAAAAAAAATAAACCACAAAGAATTCACACGAAGAAACCAAGTCCCTCCACAGGCTACATCCTCAGAAATACAAGACAAAACCAGATTAGCCACTGAAATATATGACCCCTAAAATGTGAGAGAACCACTGCCGGTGTAGTACACCACACATTTTAACCACATATATAATCTTCTATAGGCAGCACGATCATAACAAATTTGTGGGAATGGCCCCTCGATTGCACAGTAACATCGTTCGGATTACATTGGAATGTGACAGTTTTCCTTCTGGAACAGAGAGGAGTGGGATGCCATAGATCCCTAGCCTGGTACTCAATATCTTGGACACAAATGGCATCATTTAATAACAATAGCAGTAAAGAATGGGCCAAATTAATCCCCAGGACATGAGTTACCCCCCGGGTGTCTTTGATTCCCTGAGCTCATTAATGAGGTGTTGGGTCTCTCTGAGCTCGGGTATTCCCAGGTGCTTCAGGAATAATGTTCCATAGATCGCAGCTCTCAGTATAAAACTTCATGGACGCACCCAACTGGCTGTTTCTGTCGAAGGGGAAACACCACCTCGTGTGTCTCTTCTTAGCAGGTACGTGCTGTCGTCCTGCATCAAAGCCACACCACCGCAGACACACCAGGGAGATTGGCAGGTATTGAACTGATGATCCTCCGCACTAAATACCTGAGCCCAGATACAACCCCTCAAACTAAAGGAAAAACCCGGTGTTTGGGAAAGGCAGGCAATTACAAACTCAATGAAGGAAGTGCTTTTTCTGGGTTTTCCTAAGGATTAGAGAATGTGCCATTTTTAAGTGCCAAAAAATGTCATTAGCACAACAGACAAGCTTCACCCAAACCGAGATTCTGAGCCACAGAGCTCCCCTTGCTTAAAGAGGAGTGGGAGATTGACACACATTAATCTCAGCCCTTCTTGAGCTAAGTAATAATCTCATCCGACTGAGAGGATTTCACCCGGATTCTCTTACTGCGGAGTCACAAGTCACTGTTTGCTGCTCAGATTAGTGAACAGGAGTGTTACCGCGTGTTGTATGGTTAACCTGTGTGTCCTTGTACTTGTACAGTGCGGACAACTGGAATGATCCTCTGTGAACATCTGGCTTTGTGGACTAAGCACCTCTTTCAGGCCATAGTGGCATCCATTTTTCATCACTTACTTGGTTACACAGAGGGACAGCTTTGCAGAGCCATCCACCTGCCCACATACCTTTAGCTGCCTGATCTCAGCTCAGAGGAGATGGGAGAAGGAAATCACTCAGAGGTGACTGAGTTCATTCTCACAGGACTCACAGATCGTCCAGAGCTACAGGTCCCTCTTTTTGGGGTGTTCCTACTGATTTATATTGTCACCGTGGTGGGAAATGGGGGGATGATCTTTTTAATCAAGACTGACCCTCGACTCTACACCCCCATGTACTTTTTCCTCAGTTATTTGTCTTTCTGTGATCTTTGCTATTCCACTGCAATTGCCCCTAAAATGCTGCAGAATTTCTTAGCCAAGAGGAAAAGCATTTCTTACACCGCCTGTGCTGTGCAAATGTATTTATGTTATGTTTTTCAAGTTGTTGAGTGTTTCTTGCTGGCTGTGATGGCGTATGACCGTTATGTGGCCATCTCCAACCCACTGCTCTATACGGTCACTATGTCCAAGCGGCTTTGTAACCTGCTGGTGGCTGGGGTGTATGGGGTGGCATTGGCAGATGCAACGACAGGCACGTATTACACATTCCGGCTGTCATTCTGCCACTCCAACGTCATTAATCATTTCTTCTGTGACCTGCCCCCGCTGCTGGTGCTGTCCTGCTCTGACACCCTCATCAGTGAGATTTTGATGTTTGTCTCCATGTGCTACACTGTAGGGATCAGTGTTGGGACCATTCTCCTCTCCTATGTCTGTGTCATCTCCACCGTCATGAGGATCCATTCTGTCAAGGGTTTGCGCAAAGCCTTTTCCACCTGCGCTTCCCACTTGACTGCAGTGGGCATGTTTTATGGCACCCTCCTCTTTATGTATTTCCGACCCACCTCCAGCTACTCCATGGACAGTGACAAAATCACCTCAGTATTCTACACGCTGGTGATCCCCATGTTGAACCCCCTCGTCTACAGCCTGAGGAACACAGAGGTGAAGGGCGCCCTGAGGAAAGCCATGAATAAATTTCGGACCCATTCTTGAATCTTTTTAACCCAGTCCAAACTTTTCATGCACTTGGGTTGGTTCTATGATGTAGTGGCAAGTGTGATGTGTGTGATTTTTATAGCTGAACCAAAGGGTGTTTTCACAGCCTCCTGAGGCTCTGTGGCTCTTTATGTGCTCTGTGGGGTGATTGTAGATATTGTCACTTGGTTTGTGTCCACATGCAAGGAGGAGCGGCAGCCCCAAATATCAGAGGGGGAGCCGTG